ATGAAAAAATGCGGTAGTTAGAATTGTGTGAATTTAAAGATTCATCTTTTATCTAATAAACGGAGATTCCATTGTAAAATAACGAGCGCAAAAAGGAATTCCTGAATAAGTTTTACTACAGAATAGCAACAATCGGGACAAAATAGTCGGAATTGAGAGGTTTAGCCAGGAATTTTTAAAGAGAGGTGGGTTGTGAAATTTCTAATTGCCAAGTTATACAGTAACAGTTAATGGGTCCGGCCGATGGCTGGAAACATGGGTTTTCAAGCGTTATGAGGGTCTGATAAGCGTTACAAGATACGAAAAATCGCTATGCATGATACAAAAAAAGCATTTTTTACGGTTCCATTACATTTGAACCCATGACAATTGTACCTGTATGCCATTGCACCTATGGAATTTTTTTTGTTTTACAGATATTTGAACCCATACTAACCCTAACCCATGGGTTTTAGCACCCGCATATAGATTGAACCCGTGGATATACGCATGAGTTCAAATGTACGTGGGTTCAAATGTACGGTCACCATTTTTTACACTTCAACGGCAACAGCAATGTGTTCGTTAATTATTACAGATGCTCGCATTGCCGAATATTCACTAAATCATAGTCAAAAATTCAATATAAACAAAGAGATACGCAAACCTAGCAAACGTGGTCTGTATACGTGAATTCTTATATTAAATCTTCCTATAACTGCCATAAATTTGGCGAAAAAATATCCGTTTAAATTATTTTAAATATAATATTCACCAAATATTACTAACAAATTTAATACAAACTGTGATTCCATTGTGAAACGGCGAAACAAAAATAATACCTTGCAATATCGTTAATTCTTAAAAAGTCTTCCTGTAATTGTTATGAATTATTTCTAAACGTATTCAGATGAATCAAAATCAAATTTAAAACAACACCAATAGATAGTAGAACAAGTATCCCTTGAATAAAATTAAATGCTTGCCAAAAAAGCGAGATTAAGATCACACCTTATCAAATTCGAAGGCGCTCCCGAAGTATGTATACCAGGATGGCGCACAGCCTGAATCCTAACCTGGTACACATACTATGTTCAGGTTGTGCATATTCATTCTGGAGGTCCAATTCAAAATAGTCAAAATTTTAAAATACTAAAACACCAAAATACTACGACAACGACATCCTTATTTTGGAAACAATTCTCGCCAGAACGAAATAAACAAATGAAGCAAATAAAAATCACAAGGATATTATATATCTGATCATCTATACTCACGAAAAAAAGGTCATTTCGTCATCTGGAGAAATTCTTCGATTGCGAGGCCTCTCGGCGGGCCGTTTTTCGAGGATTACGGCACTTTAATCTTACGCACAAGGGACGTTGTCTTCGTACGCACAGCGAGGCATGTTCTTACTCTTCCGCATGCAAAGCCAGGAAACAGTATGGCGGCATTACCAAAAGGCGCGAAAATTTGATCTAACGCTTCTATTATACTCTTTATTATCTTTCGACTTCCTCTCCCTCGCTCGCACTATTTCTTATATCTTTTATTCTCATCGAGTTCTCACTTTTTCTCAGTGAAGTGATTTGAATGGCGTACGCATTTCCTGACGTTTGAGCTAACCAGGCCTGTCATATATGGTTTTCCTGCGGCTCAACTACTAACAAAACTCGTTGATGTAAGTAAAATTTCAAGGTTATTCAATTTATAAAATCAACCATGCTTCAAAACTCATAGAGAACCACAATTACCTTGTGTGAGTGTTCTAAACCAGTGGCCTTGGGTAATTACTGATAATACTTGCCCACTCCATTTTTTCAGAGAAAATTTCAATCTGAATTTACAATAAAAAAAGTGCATTTTACAGTATTTTCAAAAGCGTACACGAGTACACCATAGCACATAGTCCTAATAGGCTTTCCGTTAGAAATTTACCTCGAATTTATGCGACAATGAAAGTGCGTTCCCGCATGTTTGCAGGCTGTCCACCATTTTGTAGGTTATATCATTTTTATTCCAAGTACTATTCAATAGTCGACGTGTCTGTATTTAATTGGTGGCGACGAAAAAGCTATATTTGTTAATCGGGGTAAATTTTGCCGCATGGGAACAAGTTAAATAAAGTGAAGACACTAGTAAGAACTAGAGATGTACCGACGACTTTTGTCGCGGATACCAACGAAAAAACGCTGACAGATATTTCAAAATGTCGATATTATATTTTTTTAAAACATTCTGGATCAGATTAATATATCGGAAATATCTTAGTCGATACCCATACAATTACCGATATCCAAACAGCAGAAGGCATCGCAATACCAACAACATTATTACAGTCTGATATGTGCTCAACGGCCATATTTGATCTGTTGATCATGTAATGGAAGGAAACCGATAGCCTAATCAAGTGAAAAAGAAATGAGTGGATTTCCAAACCAAGAGATTTAAATTTATCAACAATTAAGAACCTTTGGTGAATCCCCTTGGTTAATGAAACAGTAGAAGCGACGTTGAAACCTTGACTTCAGTGATGTATCTTACACAATGGAAAACAATTTTAAAAAATTATTATTTTAGCAATTGAAGCCTTCCTAAACACGCCATCATTGAATTTCCGAAAACTAAAAAAAAAATAAAAAATTGATCCCCTTGGTTAATGAAACTGTAGAAGCGACGTTGAAACCTTGACTTCAGTGATATATCTTACACAATGGAAAACAATTTTAAAAAATTATTATTTTAGCAATTGAAGCCATCCTAAAGACACCATCATTAAATTTCCGAAAACTAAAAAATAAATAAAAAATTGATCAAATCAGTATTCTCTAACTTTTCTGCATTTGCATGCGCCAAGGTATTGAGAACTGACTTCATAACAAAATTGAAATTGTAAAGAGACGTTATGGACACCCTGTATATTCAATATCCAAAGTATTTGGAAAGATGGATGGATTATTCGGTTTTGACCGTCCCTAGATGCAGCTAATGTATAGAGCCAGAGGTCCCCAATATGTAACATGAATATAGTCAGTTCAATGATTGTTTACCAGAGCATCGTTTTTCTTGCTTATTTCCATAACAATGAGCAATCACCAAGAAGTCATTGATGACTTACCAATTGGGATTTTTGAAGCCGCTCAGACACTTCATTCGCTCGGACTGATATTCAAGCATGGTTGTAAACATTGCCTCGTTTTCGTAGTTTTGCGTGTTATTTATCAGATTTTAGTTTCCAAAAATTAGTTGTAAATCAAGTATTTTATTTGTCATTTTTTCTTCCAATGAGCTTTAGTTTAGTTGCAATAATCAAAAATTAGTTCCGAAGAAGATGCGATAGACCTGGCTAAAATGAGCCATTAGCATGTGTAAGTGACACATGGATGTATATTATAATAAAAATAATGGTTTTGAGCATGTAACTCAGCTTGTAAGTGCCAACTCCCCAAAACACTTGCGAAATAAGCATCCAAAATTTTGCAATAGTAAAATAGAAGAAGAATTTTGCTGAGGTCAAGGGTCAGGGAAACATCCATGGCTCAGTTAAAACCGTAGCAGCATTGATATCATCAGTTTGGTGATATTTTCACTCAGCAAAAAAAATTTAAAGAAATTTTGCAAAACATAACTACAGATTTCACTAGTTATCGATACGTATTGATAAGCAATACCACACAAGAATTAAACATTAAAAATCAATCAATAAATACAAGTAATCAAAGGGTATTGGCACTGGTGATCATAACTTGGCCATGTCTGGGACAAACATTATGAATGAAAATCACTCAAGGGCCATGCAAAACCCTACTGATTGTACATTAGTTAGTGGGCATTTATATTTAAAATACTTGAAGGGGTTTAAACCACTTCAGTATGTGAGTGATATTACAGACCACTTGACCTAACAATAATAACAAAGTCTGTGAAGGGCCATGAAAAATCATAACACCTGTCAAAATATGATGGATTAGAATATCAATATACAAATAGATGAATTTTGGAATTTTATCTTAAAATTTATTTTTAAATAATTTAAATGGATTCAAAAGAATTTGCTCTCTTGTTTGAGATGTGTTAAGATGTTTATTAACTTGTTAAAAATTTACAAATCGTTGAATTTTGGAATTATTTGTTAGAGTTAATAATCTAATTCATTGGTTCTAAAACTTTTTAAGCCACGCCCCCTTTTTAGAATTTGTGAAGTAACGTGCCCCACCTCAAAAATACCTAACTAACAATAAGCTTCGAATAACAGATAGTAAGGCGAAAGTATGTTTTATTCGAACACGCTAAAAATACATGGATGGAGGGTAAATATCCAAAATAAGGCGAATAAGATCAAATCTACCAATCAATTTTATTCAAGCCCCCTCATTGTCTAACCGTTTGATAACCACTGCTCTAAATGGATCTAAAAGTTCATGCTCATGTGTGTACAGATATTTGTTTATACGTGAGAAGAGACTTTTCAAACTGATTTGATGTCGAACTGTTAATAAAATCCTATTTCACGCCTCTGTGCGGTGTGTTGTACGAAAAAGTTGGTCTTTCTGCAAGGACTTGCAGTGACAAATGTAAAATGTAGTTTTGATTTTGAGAGCTCCGCAGAGCATTTAGAAGTCAATTCATGTTATTTTCTAGTATAGATCACTTTTACATGAAAGTTTTAACTAATTTCACATAAAAGGGTCCAGGACACAAGAAAGGTTGAAACCATTGTCCTCAATAATGCTAGACACAAGCTTTGTGTGAAGAAAAATCAAAATCCACTTTTGCATGACGGTTTTTAACTACAGTAACATTGATCAGTGGGGTTCACAGACCATGTTCATGGCATAGATTCGAACACTGTCCTAAACAACACCAGACCCAAGCTTTGCATGAAGAAGAATCAAAATTAATAAGAAGCGCAAACCATCAGTTTCCACAAAAATAAGAACTCAAAAAATGCCAAGCGTTTTTTAGAAAACAGCTTCCCATCAATAGATAATTTTATCTTTCAAATAATGATAATTTCAAACCTTTAGCAATTGCAGATATATTAGGTGTTGGTTTATAAACAGGCTGGACAAGAGGTACGAGACTAGCTTTGTCTGCGGTTTCCACGGCAACAGCAACATCTTCTTCCAATTTACGTTTTTCTCGCTTCTGTTGCTCTCGCTGTTCCTTCGTACTAACGGTTTTCCATTCACCGGCTGTAGAGTGAGGATAATGAAGTGTATTAAGTGCTAATATTTTTATCAATTATCAATCAATTTTGAATCAATTGCAATCAAGTCCATTCTCCCGAAAACGAATGAATGGCCAACTCATCCCATATGCAATATGGACTGGTAACCGGACGAGAGGCTGTGTTTCGCCATATGATTAAGTTGTCTTATCAGTTTACCTCTCCCCCAGGATAAATATGTAAATCCTATCCTATCCAATGAAAGCAAAAATATTACGGTACCATATTCTGATTATTTCCAGTAAGAGATAAATTTGTGACAAATAGTTTTAATTCTATTGTAATCAATCTACTTCAAAATAGAGAGTACTATCTTATTAATTAAGAAATGACAGCTAAGTAACAAAATTAACTGCAATCATTATCTAAAAAGAATCACAAGTATTCAAACATTAATAAAATTTTTTGTGCCATTTTTTACCATCTATCCTGTTTTTTAATTGTCCACAAATTGCTATCTGACTCCAGTCATTGAATATTTCTACTGGTGTCGGCGAAATTTGAAGCTGGTTGTTATAGCAACACTCCCTGTGCCTGATGCAAAACTATCATTTGTCAGGTTTCTTACGTGTGCACAAATATTACTCTGTTTGTGGTCTTTTTAGTATGTTTGTATTTTTCAATTTTTGCTTCGAAGAATCTAGATGGCCTAGTTGTAAAAGTTAAACTAAACTCTTCTGTTACGCAGGTAAATTTTTTGCGCTAAACCCAGGGTGCAACAATGCTGAAAGATTTTGGTGCTCCAAAAAAAGTACCTTCTTATGTATGTGGATGCTTGGAAAGAGCATAGTTCAGAATGAGGGCGAGAGATGGGCATATAATTTGATTTCTTTAGCTTATGAACCTGACATAGACATTGAAGTTCAAACAAATGAAATGTGTTCAAAATTCAAGATAATCCAAGACTAGTTGCCAAACAGAGATGAAATAGTTTCCTAAAATCAATTTACAATTCTCGACACCTACGGTAAATTGCAATTCTGTATAAGCTAAATCATTTCAAAATTTCTACAGTCAACTCATTATTTCAGATATTTCTGAAGACTCCTGGATTAGAAATAAAAACTCACAATCAAACATAGCATCCATAGGTTGAGATTCAATCATTGTATTTTCAATTTTACTTGATTGAGTTTGACTTTTCTTCTTTTTCGATTTACTTTTTGATTTTCCATCCTGTTTGAAGAAAAACACGATTAATTAAATTACGGTAGGTTCCAGACTAAAAATATACGAGTCTACATAACGAATCAAATATTCAAAACAGATAGAAATTGATTATATTCGATACGGTGAATTCAAGTATCCTTTTCAGTATTAGTATCTGAGTTTTTGTTGTCAAAAGTTGTCATTTTAAGCATTTGACTTCTCGTGGTCAGACAAAAAACTAAATTCTTTAAACTTCTAAGAAAAATATAGTAAAAAATGGGCGCTTCAGAAGTATGTGTACCAATATGGAGATAACCAATTTTGTTCGCCCACTTTACATCAAGTTGTGTAAAGGGACTCAAGCCTATGGACAGGGGGTATACTCACTTGGCTAACAAAGACAGTCCCACATAATGTAAACTATTCAAAATGTGCAAAAGCCAAAGTGCACGAAACATTAGCCATGGATCTTTAGCCATGGATAGATTGAACAAACAACGAAAACAGAGTTTTAATGCATATTGAGGGTGGATGAAGCGGATTTCGAGCACCAAAACAAAGAGAGGTATCTATCGTAAAAAGTATCAAACAAAATTTCACTGGAAACATGAAAATCCTTTTCCACATCTACCTGAGTTCAGATTATAACATTTGTTTAGACATCAATAATTCAGTTTGTATAGATCAAAATATATTTAATATTCTTCTGTGGGGAAAAGCAGTTCATCTCATCTCCAGATGTGTGACAGGTTATGACGAACTGCCTATATTTTGTTCCACTTTTCTTGCACTGTGTGATGCGTACATGTTTGCTAGCCAATAAAAACTGTTAACTGCAATTATTCCACTTCAAAATATGAAAACGGGAATTGAAAAAAGCATATAAAGAAAAACATTGTTACCCAAAATTTGAGTCAAATTATCCAATTTTTTTGAAACATTCAATAACTGCCAAAGAATAATCGAAGCAAACATCATTAGATAATTCAATACAATGATAATCTTTTTCCAACAATCACTACATCACTAATCCTATTTAACTGAATAACTCTCAACATAACTACAAGTCCCAAGGGTCATGTTATCTGATATTTATAGTTCTCCCACTTGTCTACTTCGAAATACAGCCATAAAGTTTGAGTCCACTATCACATCAACAGCTAAATTTGTTTATAAACTAGACTTAAGTCTTAAATCACGCTCCTGATAAACCCAAAAGTGAAAGTTGTGCCAAAGTTGGGAGTAACATTATTATAAAGAATTTAAATTCAACTACCTACCTATATCTGTGTCATTTTTTCAGCATTATTAAAAGATTAGAAATATCTAATCAGAATTAGGTAATACTGATAAAAAAGAGTTTTGAGTAGAAGAGAATATCTTTGCTCTAAAGAAGACAAGCAGTTATTTCTATATTTAAAACTAGAACGATTACCTAATAACTAATTTGTTTCCTTCCTTGGTAAGGGGTATAGGCCAAGAACCAATCGGACCACACATCCAAGCTTTAGTTGTGAAAAATATTTTTATATATATATATTTTTTTTTTCATACAATTTCACTCGAAAATAAATTGTGAGTTTCAAATATAAGCAGAAAGAGCACTGAGAACAAAGTTGCAGGAAATCGTAAATGCGCTAAGCGGTGTAAGAGTATGGCCAACCAAATTTCATAAATCGAAAAACTCAAATTTTAATTTTTTGAATAAATTATTTTAAACCCCCTGAGAAAACAAACTAAAACTTAATCATAATATTATTAACATGGCCAGTGTTCAACAAATTATATAATGAAGTATCAAATCAATATCTGGAAATCAACGTAAAAATCTTGAGACAGCAGGTGCTGTAAACTTATGTTTAAATCTCGTGGGACTAAATATAGAGACATACATCATCTTACTGGTATGCGAGTTCGTCTTTGAGAAAAAACAACTGAATGATAGAAATAGATAGAAAGCAAATTTCGTATTTCACTAATAACTGTTATGCTAAATTGATTTGGTGCAAATCTTGCATTAATTATCCTTTGCTAAGGCTTAATTATACATAATGATTTTATAATGCCGAAGAATCTCTTGGCGATTTAGTGGATTCATTGTTTCAGAGTGTGTACTCAATTTTTCTTAAAAAAAAATGAAAATAGCTGCTAAAAGATAAGACAAATTTAAATTTATTAAACAGATAAATTTATTATATCCGACGTGATTCTGTTTAGAGATGTACCGATACCACTTTTGTCGCCGATACCGATACCGATCCGATACCAGCTAAAAACGCCGATACCGATACCGATACGCCGATACTACAAAAAGGCCGATATTACCGATATTCCGATACCGATATTATGTGATTATTACTTAATTAGGTGTGCTGTGTAAGGCAGACGGGTTAAAACAATGGTCTTTGAGTGTTGTTCATAGTACACATTATTTCAGATCGAAAAAAAAGATATATCACATAATATGAAATTAATGTTTGGTGATTGCTTTAAATGATTAAGATACATTGTACAGTAACGCTAGTAATCTCGGTGTTCAATTAGAAAACTCATAAGCCGGGATGTCCAATTTGAATTTGATGTTAATATCGCGATCCTCGAATATCGTTATTAGTGTTTAAAAGAATATCGAATATCGCCCACACATTCTAGCGCCGCCGTCCTACGTTCAAATTAAAAGCATTTTACAAGTTTTTTATTTCGTGGCTAATCGTAATCGTCGAAGCAATAAGTCAACCGTCGAGGATGTTTTTTTACTTTACTATTTTATAATATTTTACAATTACTATCATATATTTTGAGACAGTCTGGGGCTAGGCGGCCATGCTAATATATCTATAAAGTAATTGTGTAGTTAAACAAAATTAAAATTAAAACCTGCGTAGAGGGATGGATAATTGTGTCGGAATTTAGTTTATCGATGTCGACGGACTAAATGACACTCGTACTTGACGACAAACAGTCAGAACTTATACCCGTGCCAAAAGTCTATGTGCCATTAATAGGGACCCCAATTCCACTGTATGATTTAAAACTGGGTGCCTAGTTGCTTTTTGTTATGTGCTATGTTGATATATTTCTTCATAATTACTATGTAATATTAAAAATGTCAATATAAATATTTGACAGCGAAAATAGCCAAATTAGTTGGCTGATAAATAGCTAAAAACACGTGAATCCTATTCTATCGCGGGGGTGGGACATGTATGGCTCATAGCTCACGATCTCTCCAGACAAAAAATAAATTAAAAAGTAGTATTCCAACTTATCTTTTAAAACGTTCTGGACCATATCAAAATGGTAAATATATCGGAAATATCGGCCTTAATCTAACCGATATCGATACATGGCCGATACCGAAAAAATGGCCGATATTGCCGATACCGATACCCGATACCGATACATCGGTACATCTCTAATTCTGTTATCATTTTGAGAATTGAGCCTCATAGTAAGCCAAAAAAGGCTTCATTCAATTTCTTATTGTCTTCAAATTGCTATCTGACTCCAGTCATTGAATATTTCTACTGGTGTCGGCGAAATTTGAAGCTGGTTGTTATAGCAACACTCCCTGTGCCTGGTGCAAAACTATCATTTGCCAGGTTTCTTACGTGTGCAGAAATATTACTGTTTGTGGTCTTTTTAGGGACCTCCAGAAGTATGTGCACCAAGATGGCGCACAACTTGAACATAGTATGTGTACCAGGTTAGGGTTCAGATTGTGCGCCATCTTAGAAATATATTCAGAATAGTTATCCTCGGAAAAAGAGGGTATCTATCACAGAGGCCCAGATTAGAATATTATTTAATGTTCCACATTCAAAGATAAAATTATGGATGTATTCAGACTAGTATACCTTGGCTATCTCTGCTTCTCACCTCACAGAGGGAGCAAGTTGTTAGGTAGGCAATTTAGAAGGAGAAAAATTTTGATCAGTTAACAAGAGAGCTATGTTCGAATATATGGACACAAAAGTAACAGCCTTCTAGAGAAAAATACAATCTTTTAACCACTGAAAATTTCCTAGCAATATGTCAAGTAGTTGAAGAGAAAGACGATTTTTTCATAATGATAAAGAGAAAAATACCAACAACAACGACATTGTAACAACAAATCGATTCATTGGTTCACTTTGTGTCCAGTGATAGGTTCTCTCAGGGTGCGATAAACTGAATTGGCAATGCTGAACAGTAAAGATTTCTGGTCCTGCTTCTTACACATCAGAAATTGCTTGTCTGTTTAGAATGGAGCACTGGTCCCCACCTTTTTTTAAGCGACCGAAATTATTTTACAAAAAAATATTGTAAAATCTCCCAACCAAGAGACATGCTCAAATACTAACCAACATGTAGTTCTTTAGTGACTTTCACGTTTTTGCGACTTACGCGACTCAAGAAAATTTGCTACGGCCACCCATAGGTTGGGAAACACTAGAATAGAGTGAATGTGTGGAAGCATGTATAATAGCATAATAGAAGAACTTTCACCAATTGAGGACAAATAGACTAGAATCATATAACATACAAATCATACACAAACTTTCATGCGAGTATCACTAAACACGAATTACTCATATTGTTATGAATTGTGTATCAATATGAAAGGTTTATTGTGAATCATCAAAACACAACTTTCAAAAGTCATTGAGGGCGTGTTGTGTACTGAATTCAACTATTTCACCAAAGACACTGTCAAAGGCTTTATAGTCTACTATATAACACTAGGGATATATTAAGGGTCATGATTTGTTTTACTATTGCCTTATACAGGATGCTATTCTCCTCTTCTGCTATTTTAAATAAGCTTGAGAGAACTGAAAATTGGAATGGTTGAAAATGAAAGCTCTACATTCTAATTTTTAAGTATATTTGATAAATGTATGGGCTATTCTAGCTATCACACCTCTGTTATACTGAGCATATTTCCAAATTAGAACAAAAATGTTTATAACAGTCTGTTACTTTGATTATTATTAAGATTTTTAACAAGTTATTCCACATTCAACCAAAACAAGACTATGTAAAAGTTCCACATTCAACCAAAAGCAACTATTTGAACACTACAAAATGTAGAACAACCTAAGCTATTTCTGAATGAAGTACAAGGTGATGGGTTTGGGCTGAATAATGGACTCAATAACACACAAACCAGTGGTATGAAAATACCCTGGCCACCAGGCAAACACATCAGTCATCCAGGAGGCAGCATTTTGTCTACTGGCAAGTGAGTAGTTGTGCAATACATGCACCTAAAAATACACAAGCCAATACAATGCAGACTGGATGAGCATTTTTACTTTATTTTCTTTATTTTTTGTATTGTCATAAAGTTAATAAGGTTTCTATTTTTAACTGATCACCTGATGCCAAATAGTAAGAATCACAAATTTTCAAATTGGAATATGATATCTCACTATACTCCTATTCCTTTACTAAATCAAATATAACCAATTTCAAACACCTTCAAACATTCAATTCATTCTGGATATTCCTGGGTGTCATCAGCTTTATGGCCCATGATACATACAGATCCAATAGGATGGGAAACACATATTAAAGAATAACTACTCCTGCCTAGCAACAAATATCCTGGTAAAATAGGGTGATTTCAGTAGCTCTTGACACTTCAATGATCACCAGTAACATTTCTCAAAGATCTCTTTTATTTCTGAGCGAGTGTGTGTGACTTCGCTTTGAGGTAATTTTTTTTAAAAATAGAAATCTTATAAAATAAAGAAACAAACCCTTTTCTTATCAGGAATGTTTCCCTCTTCCAAATTTCTTTTATTACCAGTTTCAAATAAACTATCGACTTCGTTTTTGCGCGAAACTTTCTTGGACTTAGGAGAAGAATCCGATGATTGCTGAAATGAATAAAAAAGAAAAGTTTTAACTGAATAATACATAATTCTAGTAATACATGGCGCTCCAGAAGTGTGTGTACCAATATGGAGGTAACTAATTTTGTTCGCCTACTTTACATCAAGTTGTGTAAAGGGACGGAAGCCTATGGGCAGGGGGTATATTCACTTGGCTAACACAGACAGTCCCCAAACTCGTAATAGAACTAAAATAAGGAAAATCGGAATAAAATGATGGCCTAACCCTAACCTGGTACACACACTACAGGAGTACCAAAACATGGGCAACTGTATATAATATATGCTTGACCAACAGATCCCAAATGAGATAACATGCTTTATGATGAAACAGTTAAGTTAGGATTCTATTGTGACAAAACAACTGAAAGTATTACTGAAGTCACCTTCTTTTCTTGACTTGCTTTCTGCTTCTTTCCTTTCTTACGTTTTCCGGAATTAGACTTGGGATCATCTTCTAACGAACTTCGAGAATCCGTGGCACGAGATCCCATCAGGAATTTAAGGACAAAAAGAATAAAGACGAAACCGACCAACCCTACAGCGGGATAAAACATTTGGTGGTTGATAATGAAATCTATTTGTTCTTGTTCAATCATGATGTCTTTATATTGTACAGAAAATTGTACTAATAAGTTATATAAAGTATAGTTGATAAGAGTATCAGATCTGAAAATAAAAGAATAGGAGAGCAATGTTTAAATATAACAAACACAAAGTATGGCAAGGCCTTCGCTGTACATCTTCAGTACAGAGTTTGTTGAAGAGATCCGCAAACGAGCGTGAAAGGCACCTTTGAAAGAATAAAGTGTCTGCATTCACTCAAATAAAATAGTAAAATTATGGATGAATATCGGGTCCCATAGTACTCAGAAGTAAATGAGAAATAATGAAGCCCTAATAGCTTTAGGCATCTTGAAGTATTGAAAACTTTGTAACTTATTTGGGCCGTTTATTACAATTAAAAGATTTTATCAACAAGAATTTACAGTAGTTTATTTCTGAGTTTACAGAATAAAATTCATCCTATATCATGATTTTGCCACAGCAGCAGGTAAATAACCACAAGACAATACAAAAAGAGAAACAACTGTAAGAAGGGCACAGAACTAACACAATCCAAAAATCTAAATCCCCAATCATTTCGGGTCTGATATAGATTAATACTTCTAGTTGGCTTTGGCAAGCTCCATGGCCTGATTGTGACATCGTGGTCACATAATTTTTGATGGCATAGCCAGGCGTGAGTTGGGAATAACATATATGCAAAATTTGTTATGTTACGCCCACTGGAAGTACTTGTGGTACTAAACTATACTATACTCGTTTGAAGGGCCTTGTTACGTCACTGTGACGATGTAGTGACATAATTTTTTGATGACGCAATCAGGTGAAAGTTAGGATTGACATAGGCAAAATTGTTATACTACACCAGTGGTGAGCTGTAGCCGGAACGCACTGGAACAGCGTTCCTGTTGTTGGACATTTTATTGCATTTGCGTTCCTGTTGTTAAAATAAAATTATGGTACAAAATGTCTAGTTTCTGTGGTTAAACTAGTTATTAATTTATGTTTTGTTACATTATAATTCGTATTTTTTTTACATCACATCACGCAAATAATTAGTACAGACAGACAGAAGTTACATGTAACAGATATTTGACTCAATGGAAATTAATCCTATATTTTTCTAAAAATAACATTTGTATTGAATTGCTATAAATATTCTTGTAATTCTGCATCTTATGACAGTTCTCTATCTTAGGACAGTTCAAACATTCGGTCCACATCGTGTTGTAAATATATTACATTTTTGCGAATTAGGTGTGTTCCAGTTGTTACAATTTTTCCAGCTCATCACTGTGCTACACCCACTAGAAGTGCTTCCAAGGTACGAAACTACACTAAACCCACCTGCTCTTTGAAAAATATCATTGTCAAATAGTACACAGTGTTTTCCCGAAAATACGACCTAGTCTGAATTTTGAAATGATCTTAACATGACCGCCCCTTAAAATGAGACCTAGTCAATAGCGAGAATATTTTATTGACTTGCGAGACAATCCAGAGGATGAATATAATTATGGTCATTTTTGAATACTCTATGTTCAGATGTTTGGCATTTTTTTAATAAAAATGTGTTATTTACTGATTTATAAGTAAATGGATATCAGTGTTTTTTTTTCAAATATTCGAAAATCTCATAAGGTAATTCTCTACTCTGTAATTTTGTTTTTGATGAATGAAAATAAAAAAAATCCCCCAAAAATAAAATTTTCAAAAGATAATTGAAATAAGACCCTGTCTTATTTTTGAGGAAACGTGCCGGTCTTGAATCGAGTCCATGCACCAGAAAACTGAATACCTGGCTAACTAATCCCATACCATGATACCCAACATGCTGAGATGGACTGTCAACCGGATGCAAGGCCGTGGTTCGCCACATGATTGAATCGTTTTATCGGCTTTCGTCTCTATCTGGATACCGGTAAATATGTAAATCTTATCCTCACAGTGACAGACCATGAGATTAAATGAATCAGCAATTTAACTAATTTTAGTCAATTGTGTATGACCTGACCTCCGATTGACCCCAAAAAGTAAAAAAATCGTATAATACCGCTACCGGTATCAATTTGACTGGCAATTTGACTCCTGGACGATATTCTAATCCTTCACAGTACACAGGTACGACTTTTATTACTGCAAGCTTGAGATTAGATTGTTCCAACCTATTGCGTCTTAATGATTTAAAATGGTGAAAAAGCAAAAATATTACATACAGCGAACTGTGTGATCTACATGGCCAGATTGCAGAGGGGACCAGGGACGGCGACGGCGTAATCGGCGAAGTGCCAACTTGTCCCGATCTGTAGCCCCGTCGAGTGGTGAAAGTCAAAGTCAGGTTGACGGACCTTTCCCCGAACATTGATTCTTTGTTTACTTCGTAACATTGGCCAATCAGCAAGATGCAAAAAGTGAGGTAACAATGCTCCCTTTTGGAACCCGTTCAGACATTTTTCTCACTCAGACAGATTTTCAAGCGTGGTCGTGAATATTACCTCGTTTCCGGGTTTTTGAACTGTATTCGTTAGTTTTCTGTTGTGTTTCGGAAACCTAAATATAAATCAGATAATTCAATGATCACTCTGTCTTCCTGGGAGTTTTAATTTTATTGCAGTAATGAAAAATTAGTGTGGAAATACCTGTGATAGACTAGGCTAAAATTCTTTACCGGTACTTTCAAAATAAAGATTGTTGTATGCGATGAATCATAATCATCGTTTGAAACACATACCCCGTTTTAAAGGCGCCAACTCGCAAAAGCACTCTTAAAATAGCCCCGAAAATTTTCCAATGGTAAGGTATAGGAAGAATTTTTGGAGGGGCGAAGGCCGAGGAAAGATCCATAGGTAAAATATTGAACACGTAATTTTACTGTAGGGTAGACGCCTTGGGAAATCAAAGCTGGTTACCGGTATCAATCAGCGATACCCATGGTTTTGAATCTAATAAAAATTTATATCGGCTGGGGTTTTAGATTTTGTACAGTTATTATCGGTTAGAATAGATTTTGCAGTCAGCCAACAACGTCCAAATAACATTATATGTCTATTGTCTAGTACGAGAGAACGCCGTGACGTCGGGGTTCATGTCGGGTGTGGAATTAGTTAGCTGTTAGTCAGTTATTTGATTCGGATGCATGGACTTTAGTTTTCTTTAGTCATTCACAGTGGCGTAGCAAGACTCTCGTGCCCCCCCCCCCCCCCCCCCCCCCGCAAAAATATTTTGTGGAAATGACCCTAAAAACTCTCGGACATAAGCTAAAGCAACGCTTTTTTTATTTTGTTAAAAAGCGTAACATGTCGCTATTAAAAGGATAGGATTTACATATTTACCCCGGGGGAGAGGAAAGCCGATAAGACGGCTTATCCATATGGCGAACCACGGCCTCTCGTCCGGTTACCATTCCAAGTCGGGTATGGGATTAGTCTTACTGTATTATTTGTTTTCGGAAGCATGGACTTGGTGGTGGAGGAGGCCGTAACCGACCAGCGGTTACGTGAACCACCCAACGACGGCGAGGAGTCCAGCAATCCTCTCGCACATAACCATCCCTGCATGGGATTCGAACCTGCGAACCCACGCAGAGTAATTAGAGGTGCGGTGGCGAGCGTATTCCTAACGCCCCTAAGCCCGTTGAGCCACACCGCCGCGATGTAGTAAAAGCGATGGTAATCTAAAATTTGCCGTTTATCTTGGTTACTTTAATTTTTTTCATACGTGCTTCCTCTTCTGCCCGTTTTCTGCGTTTCTGTGCGCCACTGAGAGGTTTTGCTTTCGACATCATTCTGACAGCCTTCGTAATTTTGCCGGTGCGATCAAACCACAAGACGCCGAAAATCGGCGACTGCCTGGCATTGTTACGTAACAAAACGATTTGAGCAGAACTAACATCAACGTTATAAGATGTGCATTACTGGATTTGCGATGCAGCTTTTGGTTTTGCGGCTTAAATTTCTAAATTATAACCGCTTGGGCCCCTTTGCGCAGTCCCCCCCGTGGACCGGAGGAGCACAAATTAAATGAGTGTGAATTTCTTTTTCTGTTCATGGTATTTCGATAATATTAATAAATTCACAAATTCTGCGACTCTTTTAAAGTTCTGACTTGCAGCATGCGGCTCTTATACTAAAAAATTGTGCCCACCCCTGATATAGAACCTTTCCTATAATGCAGGGGTCCGCAACTACGGGGTCGCGACCCAAATTTGGGTCGCGAAGCCCTCCGCTCTGGGTCGCGAAACAATTTAAATTTTCCATAAATATGAGGATCGCGTCTGTGTAGCGTATTTATGTATAACAACTTTATAAATCTCTGATTATAATTATGAATGTTTTCCCGAGTATACACTTCATTATTTACTGTCGTAACATTGGCCAATCAGCATAAGGGCAAAATTGAAGTAACAATAAACGTTTCAGAAGCGCTCAGATACTTTTGCCATTCAGACAGTCTTTCGTGGTTGTGAATATTATCTCGTTTTGGCGGTTTTCGCGTGTTTATTGTTAGTTTTTAGTTGTGTTTTGGTAAATATAAGTCCTAATCCAAATAACTCAATAAGCATTTTGCTCTGTCGGAGTTTTATTTTAAATGCAGTAATCAAAAATTAATTTAGAAATAGCTGTGATAGACTAGGCCAAATTTTTATATAATAGGCACATGTAAATGAAAGGTTGTTGAATGTATTGAATTAAAATGATAATTTGAAACATATAAACCGGTTTATAGGCGCGAACTCGCAAAACCATTATTGAAATAAGAACCAATAATTTTGCAATGGTAGAGTATAAAGCGGAAGAATTTCGCCGGGATCGAAAATCGGGGGAAACATTCATTACGTAGATGTTTGCATTGTTAAATTGGTATTATCCTACTACGGAGGTATACAATTGTATTGTTTTGTAGCAATGCGAGGTTAACAGTAGTCGTGTGGAATTGCTTGATAAAGACAGATGATGAGATTTGTCCATTCTAAATTGAATAGTTAGGGTTCAGTTGATTGTGTACGTTAGGTATACTCATGTGCTTGGCGCTTTCTGGAACATGCACTGGTCAAGACATATTCTCAGCAGTGGCGACAAGACTACAGAATGATGGATTATCATGGATTATCCTTATATCAATTTTACGCATTGCATTCTTCATAGGGAAAATCTGGCTAGCAAAACATTGGACACACCAGGGTTCCCCAAATACGGGGTCGCGACCCAAGTTTGGGTCGCGGAGCCCTCCACGCTGGGTCGCAAAACAATTTTAATTTAACATAAATATAAGCATCGCGTCTGTGTACCGAATTTAGCTATAACAACTATATAAAACTCGAATTATAATTATGCAATTTTCCCCGAGTATAGACTTCCTTATTTACTGCCGTAACATTGGCCAATCAGCATGAGTGCAGAATTTGATGTAACAATAAACGTTTTAAATTTAGGTTGATATTAAATTTAAAAATAAAATTGATGTTATTCAAGTAACGTATTTCTTACTTTTAGCCTGCTGCGATTTTGTAGTTGTCAATTTTGAAAACCCGATCTCACATAAATGTAAAAATGCCTGTAAAAGCTTTTTTTTGCAATGTCGGGTTATTCAGATAGCAGTATTGCCCAAAAGATTGCCAAAGTAGCTACCCTATAAATCGCAAAGACTCTTTTCAACTCATTATTGTTTGAAATTTCAATCAACTAAAGATGTTATTAGGACATTGTACGTTTTTTGCGTCACGTTTCTGCGGACCGGTAGTAAGACCGGTAGTAGTAGTAGACTGATTTAGTCATTCAGACAGATTTTCATGGTTGTGAATGTTACCTTGTTTTGTTGGTTTTCGCGTGTTTTCGTTAGATTTTAGTTGTGTTTTGGTAAATATAAGTCCTAAACTCGCAAAACTATTCTGGAAATAAGTACCAATAATTTTGCCGTGGTAGAGTGTAAAGAGGAAGAATTCAAGAGATCAAAAGTCGGGGAAACATTCGTTACTTAGTTGTTCGCGTTGTTATATCCTAATACGTATACTTCATGTTCTTAATGTGCTCCGGAGCCTCAGGACTCCGTTAAAGACACTTAAGGCGTCCGCGAGCTATTCGTTTACTTAAAAACTGTCCTCGACCCACTGCCCTCAACTTTCCTATCCTCGACCCACTGCCCGACCTCCCTCAACTTTCCTATCCTCGACCCACTGCCCTACCTCCCTCAACCTTCCTATCCTCGACTCACTACGCTATCTCCGTATCCTCGACCCACTGCTCTATCTCCCCAACTTTCGCATCCTCGAACCACCGCTCTATGTTCCTCAACCTTTCTCTTCTTGACCTACTGCCCTACCTCCCTCAGCCTACCTATTTTCGACCCACTGCCCTATCTGCCACAACTTACCTATTTTTGACCTACGGTGCAATACTATTCAGTACCTGACCTAACGGCGCTTTATTTACGACCCGATCGCCACACTGAACTTTACTATCTTGCGACCAACTTTCATGGGTTATACTGGTCGTGTATGCCAATGAGTTGATTCAATCGTACGTCGACAAAACATGATTGACGGCATTCGTATGATATGTAGGCTGGAATCTCAAATGGTAAACAATAACCATAATTGGCAGTTTAAAAATGTGTTACTAATTGGGCTACTGATGGTTTCTTGTTGGGAATGACAGTTTTCTAAATTTTAACAAGTTGTTTTATGCCCTCAATAATTGGCCATGTCGTGAGTCTTTTGAAAATACGATGCTGATCCGAAGTAAGCAATAGTGCTCTGGTCCGTATAAAGTATTTTTCCTCAGTATTTTATAGTGAAAGCTGCGTCCTTTTGAACTTTATTAAGTTGCAGATAAGATAAGCTCAATTTTGGGACTATACGCTGAATTAAAAGGCAGTTGGCAACGCTAGCTACGACAAAACATTTCATGGCTAAAAATAGTTTGGAATGGATTACACTCACTGAGAGACTTATATTTTTGACTGTTTTTGACTATTCAGCCTTCTCAGTCACGTAAAAGAAATTTGTATATACAACAGGATATGGCAGAACATTCGTTGAAATATACCAAGGGTGCAAATATTTGATTACTTCCCCATCGTTTTGCCTTGCACAGAAATACAGGCGACATGAGTTTCTGAAAAGGAACTCAGATATGTCGATATCGAAAGGCCTGTTAAAATTTTAAAAACAGTGACTCCAAATCCGATGCCATCAGTAGCCTAATTAGTAACACATTTTTAAGCCACTAATTATGGTTATTGATTACAAATTGAGATTCCAGCCTACATTTACGAATGCCGTCAATCATGTTTTGTCGACGTACGATTGAATCATCTCATTGGCATACTCGACCAGTATAACACATGGAAGTTGGTCGCAAGATGGTAAGGTTCATTTTGATGATCGAGTCGTAGTTGTAGCGCCGTTAGGTTAGGTACTGAGTGGTGTAGCGTCGTCGGTGGAAGATAAGTAAGTTGAGGGAGTTCAGACAGGGGGTCGAGAGTGAGAAGTTTGAGGCAGATAGTGCGCTGGATCGAGGATAGAAAAGTTGAGGGAGATAGGGCAATTAGTCGAGGATAAAGAGGTTGAAGGGGATAGGAAGGTTGGGGTAAATAGGACTGTGGGTCGAGGGTAGGAAGGTTGAGGGAGATTGGGCGGTGGGTCGAGGATAGGAAAGTTGAGGGAGGTGGAGCAGTTGGCCAGGCGAGGGAGACAGGGCGGCAGATCGAGAATAGGAAAGTGGAGAGAGATAGGACAGTTAGTCGAGGATAAAGAGATTGAAGGGGATAGGAAGGTTGGGGGAAATAGGACAGTGGGTCGAGGGTAGGAAGGTTGAGGGAGATTGGGCGGTGGATCGAGGATAGGCAAGTTGAGGGAGGTGGAGCAGTTGGCCGAGGCGAGGGAGACAGGGCGGCAGATCGAGAATAGGAAAGTGGAGAGAGATAGGGCAGTGGGTCGAGGATTTGAGTTGGGATGACTGTATAACTTCACTGGCTCTAAAGTCTGAACTGTTGTCGATTGCGGGCCAAAATAAAGGTTGAGAGTCATTGGCGGGTCGCACGTATTTTAGAAAGTTAAAAACCAAAGGAATGGCCAATGAATCACATTTTTTCACCCAGAAATTTCAAGTAGTGCGCGAAGACTGATCATTTGAATATTTTCAGCCTCATTAAACCATTTGCGCTCAGCATCAACTTTTTTACGTTCTGTTGCAATTTCTCTAATTATAATCAATTATAGGCTCTTAAACGAGTGATTGTGAATTATATACTTGTTAGGTTATAGTATAATTTAGTTTATCAAAACAAATTTTGTCACGTAAAGAATATATTCGTCAATAAAGCTGTTTTGTTAATATAATTCAGTGAAGCGTCGCGGCGCTGTAGTTTGCCGACCCCTGATCTAAACCCTTCAATGAAAGTTTGATCATTTTACTGTGTCGGCCGATATTTGTCCCATCACTGCATATAGAAATCACTGATACATTCATGCATAGACCGAATTCCATATGAAGGTATCAAATATAAATGGCTTTATAACTGCAACCTCTCCCTTAACAACGAAACATCGCGATAATCCTAAGTGCTGAAAGAGTAACTCAAAAATACGATTTCTATCCATTCATTTCTAGTAGACGGTTTAACAAGTATTTCATGGTTGCCGTAGTAGCTATATTAGTCAACTCAAAGGCGAGCAATGATGAACACAATTGAATTGATATGACAAAACATTTAAAATTCACGGGTCGGCCATGGATTGAGCGATGAGTGTTGCTCGGGAATTTGCTATTCTGAACCCTCTCCCTTTTAGAAAACCATGCTGCTGCGCCCTTAGTTAGAGTAGTTAATGTTATGTTTGAATCACTACCACATTTCGACACCACCGTCGTCAAATTTTATTAGTGACGTTAATGCTTCTCCACAGATACAAAATTAACCAAGTCAGTTTTTTAAGTGAACGAATAGCTCGCGGAGCCCTGAGGCTCCGTACGAAGCACTTATAGCAGTGGGGAACAACGCCCGACAAAAGACTCATCTTCTCATCCTCATCGGATAGAAATACATCACCAAACCATACATACAAGCGGAATATCAGCGAATAATGTATAAAGATTGGTTTCACGTGTATCTTACAGCAAAGCATCCGAAATTCATTAAAAAACCAATACATTTTCCCCGCCTATAAGCGTTTTCATACATAAAATACAATTACAGATCAAGGCTAGAGGTAGAAAAATATCCACCTCTATAAAATATCCAAAATATCCTTGGATCTTCGTCATTTCCAACTATGAATCAAAACTCTTGACGATTACGTTTCCCAATCGAGGAGGTATTTCGTCCCTGGAATTTTGGATGGTATTTCGGGAAGGACTTTGATTTGTATATGTTGTAGTATTCCTAATATACTTCAGTCCTTTATTATTACTATAATATCTAATTGTGCACATAATATAAACTACTTAATTAAACTACAAAAAGCGGAAGTGCGATTCGTGCATAACACTAGATAAAGAGCTTTGAATATAAACAAATAAAGTAGTTTCATATGCATAGTGAGGGGGATACAGAGTTCTAAAATAGGCGAAGTGAGGAATTCAACGAAAAAGATTGGAAATCACTGCTTTACCTAATCCCAGCACATAGAAAAAATGGAGCTCCAGAAGCATGTGTACCAATATGGTGGTAACTAATTTTGTTGGCCTACTTGACATGAAGTTGGGTAAAGGTACTGCGAGGGTATATTCACTTGACTAACACAGACAGTTCCCGAACTCATAATTAAGGCTGGGCATTTCGAATCGAATATTCAAACTACTTTAAGACTTGACATTATATATCCGTTTGGTTCTTAGGCATTTTTCTTTCCAACGAGTTCCTCTACCATTTCCAAATTATTCATCGCAATACTTGTTTCTTCCTCTTTAACATCAACATTCTCCCAATCGTTAGCTTCTTTGTAACATTCTAAGGCTATTAAATAGAATTTTTTAGCTTCTTCGCTGTTTCCAAGGTTATAATAAGAGATTCCAGAATTATTGTGCAAATCTCCAAACACTCTATATTTGTTGGCATCGGATTTAAATTGTTCGCTTAGTATATTCATTCCTTCTTTATAAAACTCAATCGCTTTTCTATATTCTCCTACATCATCGCAGCTGTATCCAATATTATTCAAACTTAGTGCTTCATAAAGTACTTTGATATATACATCTATCCCAGTGACACTTCTCAAGTCATACAGAAGTTTTTCAATACACCCAATTCCAAAACTCCTAGCTATTGGTAACATGCTTCCGCCTTGCTGTACTAGTCTTCCAATAATTTGCATAATTTTGTGATTGCACTCATTGATCCCTCGTATCGCCTTGGTCGGATCAGCATCAATTTTATACAAATTTGAAACACATTGTAGTAAGATTAAAGCTCGAATATAAGATGAGCTATCTACGTAATCGTCACATGTTTTCATGACGTCATCCGTACATGGCCCACTCGGTGACGCCATCATTAATTTAAGAGTGCGTAAGCAAAAGTTTGCCTTGGATTTCCTTCCTACCATCAAGCAACATTCAATTTCTTCAACTAAATTTTGTTGAATCTCCATCGACCATTTCTCTTCAATAGCTTCATCGACAATGGTTTCTAAAAAAAATTGAATCTTTTCACTGTTGCTTTTCTCATTTCTACTTAAAGAATCAAAAAAATGTGAACTAGGCAGATCTTGGAATATTTTTTTCTACAAGTGGGGCAAATAACAGGTATCCTTCACGGTAAACTAATTTCAATTGAAATGCTCACCTAAAAATCAGATTAAATTTGATATAAATAAGTATATTTCTTATATATATAACGGATGTTCATGTTATATACTATAATACGTCGCTTTAAAATTCCAAACAAAAAAAAATATTATACTTGAATTCGTGTTATTTTTCACAGTTGTCAGATTGGTATCGGGGTTTTCAATGCTTCTTCCACTCATTGCAAACAGCGTGTCGTAACCAGCAGGACTAAAAAAATAACAAAACGGAAATCATTAAAAAACAATGCTTAAATATATGGTCACGAATGCCAAAAATAAGTCGTATGAAACATCCCTACTTCGATGGCTATCGGATCGCTCAAATGAGATCACGAACCGCCGCACATTTTTTAATTTACACGTCATCACACAAAACGTTAAAGTGAGAAACGGATCCCACAGAGTCCACAGAAATAAATTTTGAAATGAATAAAATTAATCCCTTCCAGCGACAACAACAATCTATAACCACTGGAAATTTCAAAGCAATTGGTCTAGTAGTTGAAAAAAAAGTGATTTTTTTCACAACAACAACAAGATGAAGAATACCAACAATAACATTTTAACAAAACGATTCATATTTACACTTCATGTCCGATAATACCACTATAACACATTATGTTCTTTCCATATTTTGCGATAAATATGACCTTGTTGCATGAATAATAAAGACCATTTTAAAATCATCTTACATGAGTAACAAAGATATCTGTTTTTCAAACGCAACAAACCGATCTGCTAACATCGCAAACTTTTTCTCTAATTTTTCTATATTCTTCTCCAGCGTTGAAAATCTCTTTTCTGTCGACGTTCGTTGCAATTCATTTTGTGATTTCGTGGTTCCACGTGGTCCCGACACTGGAAAGCAAACGAATAGAAATAAACGATAAAGAAGGTGAAGCATGTAATAAGCAATGGAAACCTGCAAAAACAGTGAAAACTCGTCAAACACCACTCTTATTACATTTCAAATGCCCTCCTTCAACACTTTCAGTACCATGGACGTATATATACGTCATTTGGCACATACGGCCTGTTAGACCCAAGTGCAGTGAGTTTCAACAGTGAGCAATGGTCCATTGGTAGACCATGACGCCATTTAAAACAGTACACAAGTCATGGAATGAATCACAACAAAATCAAGGCTTAGTGCAAGAGTGGGCAAGTTACGGCCCGCGGGCCGGATCCGGCCCACAGAAGTGTTTCACCTGGCCCACTAGTGTCTGCTGAAATTATGACTTTAATTTTTTTTGTGTAAAAATTTCCGTTGAAAATATTGATAAAAATAACGAATAATCAGCTAAAATAAATACCATAATCCCCACGTGTTATCCGCGCCTAAATATAATGTGCGGTCCAGTAACAACGCTTTTACTTGTAACCGGCCAATTCAGGAAAATTATTGCCCACCATGTCTTAGTGTCATAAGGATAAATAAACAGTAAAGCACTCAATCGAAGAATTATGGACAAAATGCAGAACAATACACTCATTGAAAGTGTGTAAATATCCTCTTGATTAAAATTTTGAAGGTTTCTCAAAGAGAGAAACGTAGCAAAAAAGGTTGATGGGGGTAGGGGGGTTCAAAATTTAGGGGTGATAAATATTTTGCTATTGGCGATAAAAATGTGTAATGTATTTGACAGGTCGTCCACACTGATGAATATTCCATTTTTTAAATAATCAAATACAATTATTCTTAAGTTGAGTATCAAAGTGTGGTGTCACACCTCAAAATTAGGGAGTGTTGGAAATTTTAGGGGGATGTTAACCGCCTATGAGGGTGGGGGTCACTGGTTAGGAACCACGTTAGATTTCTATAATACCTGATTTATTAATGCATCCGTTAGCATCCTCCGTCAGAATTAATCTATTGGCATCGTGAGGTCTATCTTCGTAATCAGTAAGTTTGGCTTCAGAAGTTCTGTTACGTCCAAGGCTTCGCTCCTCATATCCGTGTATGAGTACTGCATATATATATAAATAAAATATATAGGATGTCCATAAAGTCTTGGAATTTTTTCAAATGATGAAGGGAATTTATCGATACCATCCATATATTGTTTTGGCCCTCACAGATGTATTAAATGAAGTAAAAATACTTAAACAATTACTGATCAAAAAACAGCAAACCTGGTTAAGATATATTGAGAACTGACTTCATAACGAAATAGTAATTTTAAAGGGACTTTATGGACACCCTCCATGCACGGTATGATTACCTATAATTTTCAAAGTTTAAATAGGCTCGACCGTCGTTTTTCTATAGATCATTTAAGACGCCACATTTTTCTTATTATTGCCTAACATTTCTTCATAATATCTTTGCAAATGCGGTGGCAATATAGCATATCACATTTGTTACACTCGAAAGTGGAATTTGAATCGCCCATTGACCTTTGTCCCTGTCATATATTTAGATCCAACTAACCATTCTATGTGCCTTTTATCACTGTTTAATCACGAATTTAAATATTTAATGTCAAAATCGACTCGGCAGTGTGGTGCATCATGCTAAGTGTTAGGAATACGCTCTCCATCGCAACTCTGATTACCCCGCGGTGATTCGCAGGTTCGAATTCAATCCGGGGATAGTTATGGGCGAGAGGATTGCTGGGCTCCCGCCGCCGTACAGTGGTTCACGTACAGTGCTTCCTCCACCATCAAGTTCATGCTTCCGGAAACGAATAACTGTCTAACTAATCCCATACTCGACATGGACTGGTAACCGGACGAGAGGCCGTGGTTCGCCATATAATTAAGCCGTCTTATCGGCTTTCCTTTCCCCCCGGATAAATATGTAAATTCTCTTCATAACATTCACTTTCATTGCGTTCAGCTTTCTGACGTTTTCTTGCAGTTGTTTGCATCTTAGGGTTGTTGAGTCCAAAATTGAAAAGTGGAATCCACTGTCGGACCAATCAGCAAAAGACGTGCGATGCCAGAATTTTATACTAGGCTATATGTATAATTAAGGCTACATAAATATCCTTTTTTCTCAAACATACGAATAAGAAAAATATGAGGCAACGGAAAAATGTATGTTGTTTCCACATCAGAATCCAATTCATAAGCTCAAGACATATATATAAATGGGAAAAGTCCCGTGGGATGGGACAGCACACATTTGTATTTCCCGTGGGAGACGAAAACCGTATGATTTTCGGGGAAATGATGGTAAAACATTTCGCTATAGTATTCCTGTCCATATAATTGAGCATAGCTCTCTTGTTAGTTGAAAAAAAGCGCAAAATATATTCAGCATTAACAGTATAATTTGTGAAGAGGCTGATGGACACATGTATAATAGTTATGAATATAAAGTTAACAAAGTCGTAAATTTTGTTGTTTTGCATGTCTCTTCGTACATGTAGTCCTATTTAGTAGACGCTAAACCTAAATTTAAAAATTTTTATTGAATTTTATTCGAATAGGAATCCCATGGGATGGGACAGGCATAATTGCTATGGGATGGGACGGGAATGGGCCAGTAAAATATGTATCATGGACAAGCCTGACGATTTCACAACACAGAATTTAAAATTGCCTCAGTTATATGTTTTGCTAAAAGTCCTGGCTAAATTATACCTACTCATTATTACACCAGTTGATAGATATGTTGGTATCTTCTATTAATTAGTTTACAACCTTTTTTTTCAAGCGACTCAAATTTTTTCAAAAATTCGACATTCTTGGTTCTTGCGACATCCCTACTTTATTTTAGTAGACCTTAATAAACCTTAAATACAAGTGGGCCAGATACAAATAGCATTCTGAAACCGCGGGCCGCACCTTTATTTAACATATGCTTTCCAGTAGTTGCAGGCACAAAAATTTTGAAAATTGATCTCATGACATGCGTCGTTCGCTTCGCACAAGATAGCTGTTAAGGCATTTTGACGTCATATGCATAGATAATAAATTGGGCTCAGATATAACCTTTGGAACGCAAAGGGATTGAAAATGCTCGCCCGTACCAGAATTAAATTAAAACTCGTTTCGTGGACTGTACACCATTCCAAATTGGCACTTTTTTGCGGGTCGCCTAATATTTCCTTATGAACCGCACTTGGCCCGGGAGCCGCAGGTTGCACACCCCTGCTCTAAAACATCCGACGAATCGTGAAAGAGAACAACAAACACTCAAATATACTTAACACCAACTTAACTGCATTGTTGACGTATCGCGCTATGTCAACATAGAACTCCACCGACTGATAGCTCATTCTTAGCAGTGCTTAACGAGCCCAAGTGAGGATGAATAATAGCCAATAGCTTCGAATTCATACTTTAACAACTGTTTTCACGTGGGGGCGAGATTGCACTTACATATATTATAACAAGAACATCCGTTGTTATGTTTAGTGCCTGCCTCATGATGACGTTTCCTGAGTATGCAGATATGTATCACATTTTGTCGGTGTATGATAGCAGCCCAATGGCGATTGGTATCAATATTCAACTCTATTTCTTAGCATTATGTGGTAACCGGTATAACTTTTCAGGTAGGTCAAAGGTGATATGTATCATACATGCAACCCTGATTCTAATCTGTTGTACAGGCCTAGGGCATAGCAGCCTAATGCCAATACAAATGCGATTGGGCCAATGTATCCACTGTATTCCTAACTAGCTTTGCACAGACTTGCTAAATTCACCTAAACCTGTTGTTTCTCGCTGCTTTACTATTTATGCGTTATTTGGGGTTCGCAGCTTAGATAAATCAAAGTTAGTCTTTCTCGAGAGCATTGCGATTGCGTGCCTCACTGCAGTCGCTGGGCATTTGACGTATCCCATGTTAAAATGAATTGAATCTGGCATCTGCCATCCCCGACTTTAACTGGTAAACGTAAAAAATGGTGGTTTGAGTTATTCAGGCGGTAATATTTACCTGAAAATGCGTTTTTTCATTTTCTAACAAAAACTCCCGCGACTAATAGTAAAGATACTGGAATAGACTAACTGTCTTTTATAGTACTAATTTAAATTACATAAATTAAAAATCGCACGTAAGGTTCTGCTGTATATATTCTTATATCTAAATTGTGCCGAAATTTGATAGCTCGATTATACTTTATTATTGTTTTACACAACAAATCATTCATCAACTTATAGCACATTTTGCCGGGTGTGACTATTTTCTTTGTGTGGTGACTCTTAAGAATAACTTTTTAGCTATTAAAATTATGTGAATGAGATCATCAGTGAGCACGACAGACGTCAAAAACAAGCGTGGTCGTGATAATGGGGGTCCTAAGAAAATTCGCCGCAGGAAATTTCGCCGTAGGAAATATCGCCGCATAGGAAAAATCGTTATTTGTTAAAAGATTCGTTATTTGAGAGCATACCCTAATCCTATAAACTTAACTGTTTAAAATAACAAATACTTGTTTTACAACAAAATGCTCTTGCGATTTTTCCTGTGCGGCGAAAGTTCTTGCGGCAATATTTCCTTCAGCGAATTTTCCGGACACGATTAATGGGACTGCGTCAGTTGGCAGATCGTCATTCTATGTCGGCCCGATAAGTGCCGGTGTTTATGTTATGTATGTTTTTCATGTTTACATGCTTACCCCTTATTCAATGCTGTTTTATCCGGTTCGAATATTATGGTACATCCGAATTTGCATTATAAGACTCCGAACACCCATTACACGTGACGGGGAAAATATATCTCTCGCTCTCTTTTTGGCCGTTGTGCTGGATGGGATCCCGCCGTCTCTTTGATTGCAGCGATAGCTCTGTTATAAATGCATCTGCTAACCTACGTATTTACTTTAAAATAAATATTAAAAACAATTACAATATTACCAAACGTTATGATGAGCAGAGGCAACATGGGTAGCTTTTGAATTTAAGTTCAACGATTAAACATGATACCTGTTGATTTCCCAGCAGGGTGCAGTAACACTTACTGCGATGCACGATACGGTGACAACTGTCCGAGGTGCATTTCAACCAATGTGTTATGTCTGCAAATCATGCGCATATTACCTTGTCCTTACTAACAACATGCCAACTAATTATCTTTTTCATTGTTTTTCAGACTGCATGGTTAGGAGTTTAATTTAACATGAAATCCAAGTATCTTGTGTTAGTTTATATAATTTGCATGCACAAAGTGGGATTATTAATGGCGACGAGGATAAATTCAACTAACAACCCAGAAAAAAGGTTTAAAAGTTCCAACGTACAGACCAACATGGCTTTCCAAATGACGCAGCTTGACAAATTCGATCCTGATAATCATCGTGGCAATGTTCATGACGCGTTCTGCGAATTTGTAGAATCATTCCAATATAATTACGATGCCTTTGCCAGAGATTGTCCAAAAGAGGTAGAGCACAGAGACGCATGGATCGAGAGGAATAAGCGAAAAGTATTCCTTGGAAGATTTGCATCCAGAAACCTTCAAAAAGTCTACGAAGACGTTGTGCCAGAAGGTGAAAGAGCAGAACTCAAATTCAAAGATTTTGTCGATAAAATGAGAGAGCGATACGAGCCAACCCGTAACTACACCCTTGCAAATTTTGAATTTTATGAAATGCGTCAAGAAGAAGAAGAAAGCTTCGACAACTTCGTTCATCGTGTCAAGCATGAAGCCAAGGCCTGTGAATTCACGTGCTGTAAAACATGCACCGTAGCAGACATACTAATACGTGACCAAATAATCATTGGCACAACTAATGAAGTAATTAGAAAAAATGCACTGAATAATCAGTGGGATCTAAAACAGCCAATTGCTAACGGAAGAAAGATTAAATCAGCAGCCTTTAGTGCGGAAAGAATAAATGCTGAGAATAAGGTGTCGCGTATGAAACCAGGCAAGTATTCGCGCAAATCAAGAAGCACCAGGAAAAGCCCAAAAGAACAAGCAAACAAAATTGCATATACAGCATGTTCTTCTGGAACCTGCACAGGTGGGAAAAGGTGCATGGCTTATGGGCTAGAATACTTTGCCTGTCGTAAGAAGGGCCATTTCAAAGGTTCCAAAATCTGCAGATATAAAGCGATAAAAAGAAGAGACACTCGACGGCGATAACTGTCAAGCATATCACAAATGCCAGAAAGGCCTTGGACTATTTACATATAAAAGGGAGAGTGTTGTTATGTCTGCAAGTCATACTCATATCACCTTGTTTTTACTAACTGCATGCCAACTAATTATCAGTTTCATAGTATTTTAGACTGCATGGTTGAGACTTTAATTTAAACTTGTATGTAAGCATTTTGTGTAAGTAAACACCTTATTATATATCACACAGTTCAAACGATTTCGAAGTTGTATAAATTTGGTACTGTATGGCATGATGCCATTGGCATCACATAAAACATTGCTCTTTTTTGTTTGAGTAATAGTGTGCTTGTTTTTTTCATCATATATTCATGGTTAAATATTTTTTAAAGAAACTGTTAATGTTGCTGTTTATACTGTGTATTTATCACTATTTCCATTTTGTCTCATTGTGAGTTTCATTACTGGTACATTAATGTTTTTGTTTTCTTTAACAGATATAACATCTTAGAAATAGTGCATAAGAATGTCAGTTACTGTAATGGCACTGGCCGTGTTCGGACTTGCAAGGTCATGAATGGAGTTGTGACAAAATGAGAATGATGAAGATATACGTGATGAACATGTATTACTTGTGAGTAACTTCTTTGTAACGCTGCAATTCAGATCAAACCTGGTAAATTTAGTATTTCAGTAAAATGAAATATGTGGTTAGTTTATGATAGGTACCAGAACAAGTTAACTCGTGTTGTTAGTATTAAAACCGTATTCGTGTGTTATCGACGAAAAACAATCAGCTTTTGCCAAAGTAGTTTTTTTTTATTTGTACAGAGTTAGATAGATTAATTAGTGTAGAATGTAC